CCATATAAATTACATGTTTGAAAGAACAGGGACTATGTACGTCTGTTTCCGCTGTTGCTTTATTTTTAGTGCAAAACACAGGGCCTAGAATGTGGTAAATGCTCTCTCTATATCTGTCGGACCTTCTTTACTTCTACATTTCTTGGGTTATATTTCTAAATGATATTTATTTCCCCATCCCCCCAGCTGATGTTGACTTCTGGATAATTTCTCCTCTCCAAGTTACTTATTTTCTCTTTACCTGTGTCTAATAGGCTGTTTAACATATTCATAAGAGTTGCTAATTTCAACAATCATGTTTTTATTTCTAAAAGTTCTATTTGAGGGACTTCCCTGGCTTGGGAACTAAGATCCCACAAGCTGCGCAGTGTGGCAAATAAATAAATAAAGTTCTATTTGAGTCTTTAAAAAAATATGCCTTGTCAAGTTTGATTTTTCCTTCATTATACTTTCAATTTGTTTTTTTTTTCCTTTGAATACATCAAGTATCTTTTTTTTTGTATTCTGTCCCTGATAAGCCTAATAATTTTGCAGGTCTGGTTGTATAGATTGTGATCTTTCATTTATGGTGATTCTCATCCTGGTGGCTTACTTTGTGTTTGTTTAGTGGTTTTCATTAAAAGCTTATGATCCATGGCTATTTGTCTGGGGAAATTCTTTGATATCTTGATTTAAACTTATTTTTTCAAGAAGGATTTTTTTTTTTTTGGTTATATATGTAATATGAATTTTCCACCTAAAACACAGAGGTGGTTAGAACTTTTCAGGGGATATTTTATCTCTTTTTCTACCCTTCTAGAGCCAAGGCCAAGACAGATACATATCTCTGCCCTCTTCCTATGTGAGCTTTTCTCTTCCTTTAATTAAGCCATAGAAGATGTTTCCCTTTGGGGATCTAGTATTATGCATCAATAGGTTCCAAACTCCCAACTTGCTTGATTCCCAGGCTTTATCTCTTATGTCCTGCATAGGCAACCCAATTAAACTCTGACTCTGGGCCACAGGGCATCTACTAGTTCCCCAAGGGCAAACCCCAGGTTCAGTGCTTGTGCACCCCTCTGGATTATTACTTTCTTATTTTTTCTCTTTTTCTCTCATAGGAATTCACTTAGTTTTTGCCAGTTCAAAAATTAACAAATAGATGATTTTTATATTTTATTCTGAATTCTTGGTTTTGTTATATCAGGAGAGATTTTTCTGAATATAAAGTTTGCAAGATTGCTGGAAATAGCTAACCTTAATACTTATTGGATGATGAATAAATGAATACACTGACTTCTACTCTAATGAACAGAGATAATTCTTTCTTACTCTTCCATTGCTGGGTCATTGCTACACATCTGCTAACCTGTTATTTAAGAGGGGGAAGTGCAGTGGGTAAGAAATTATGTACTAGAAAGAAATAACTATTTTCTTCACAAAAATAAACCTCAAAAGCATCATCTAAATATGGAACTGGAAAAAGATTCTCTGAGTAGTGAGGGGGAATTAGACCAAGTAATCTTGACCTGTACTAGAAACTGTCCTGGCCCCTAGAGGGCTCCTGCTCTCCCTCAACACTGGATAAACTGCCATAAACTTTCTGCTTTGTGGTGTTTTTGGAGACAAAGCCAGAGTGTTCCAATATAACTGAGATGCTGGCGATGACAAAAGAGGAATAAGAGTACGGAGAGAGAGAGAGAGAGAGAGGGAAGGAGGAAGGAAGGGAGGGAGAGAGAGAGAGAAGGAGTGGGGAAGGGGGAGAGAGAGAGAGAAAGTTAAAGCTGTATTCTTTCATGACTGAGTCACAAAGCATCACTTCTATCATACTCTTGGTTTGAGAAACCCCAAGTCCCTGCCTAGATGCAAGGTTAGAAAGCATCGACACCATCTCTTTATGGGAGGAGTGTTAGTTTCATTGCACCAAGAGCATGTGGGATGTAAGATGCATGTATGTATGTATGTATGTGTATGTGTGTGCTGGAATGGCCATCTTTGGAAAGAATAATCTGCCACACATGCACATTGTCTAGTTGTTATAAACATAATACATAGAAAACATCCAGCATAATGCCAGGTGCTCTGCAGTTGCTCCATAGGCATTAATTCTTTTTCCTCTTGATTTCCTCCCTTTTATATGAGAAACAAAAGGGGGTTTTATTTTAAGAGAAATAAGATAGATGAGAAATAAAAAAGGTACTTTTGCATGTGTTATCATACTGAAAGTTGGTAGGTTAGTAAATCTCCATTTTATAAATTAGGGAATTATGCCTCAAAGATGTTTAGTAATTTTAGTGTTAAATTCCGCAGGATGATTTATTAAGATATTCATTTATTTTTGTTCTCCATTTATGTTTTAAGTAAACTTTTAATTGAAGGGAAACATAAGAACACAGTTTGATGAATTTTCACAAACTGAACACATCCATGTAACCAGCACCCCTATCAGAAACAGGACATTGTCAGCAACCCTGAAGCACCCTTCACAGACCTTTCCAGTCACTAGCCCCCAACTGACCAACCATGAATAACTGCTATCTGACTTCTAACATCAAAGATTAGTTTCCTTGCCTTTGAACTTCATATAAATAGAATCATAAAGTATGCCTTCTTTTGTCCTTGGCTGTTCTGTTCCATAATAGGTTTGTGACGTTTATCTGTTTAACTTTCATGAAACTTTTTGGCATGTTTTTAGGGTATACATGTGTATACTTATTTTTATTCGGTATACATCTAGGAGTATAACTGCTGGGTCAAAATGTATGTATATGTCCAAGTTTGTTAAATACTACTAATCAATTTATTGTACCATATACAGCAATATACAACAATATTATACCATGGTACCAATGACTGCAATATAGAATTGTACCAATGTTTTATTCCTAGTTCCTATGTAATTCTTCTCCCCCTATTCCCCTTCCACATACTTTAGGCAGGTAACTACGGTTTTAACTTTATTTGCTTTAGGGTTTTTTGCTAGGTATAAATCAGAAGCAGCTTGAAGTTAATGCCCTTCCCACTTTTAAGCCAAAATCTACTGATGAGATAGTACTGGTTGGCCAGGAAGAGTAGGTTCAGTGAAGGAGAACTTTCAAGGTAAGGAGGGTGAAGGACAGAGAGACTCCCTTGGTCAGAAAGTGGATAGAAGTCAGTGGGTCTAGGAGACAGCAGGAGCCAGAGGACCTGAAGAGCTGCTTATGCTCTTTTTAGTAGGGTGACCATATAATTTGTTATCCAAATCCAGACACTTTTGAGAGTGAGAAGGTTTGCTATTAATAATTATACAGGGATAATGGATGTAAATCAGGACTGTTCCCAGCAATCTGGGATTATTTTAGGCAGCTTCAGTGGAAACTTACAAATGTAGTTGCTCACATATCTTTGAATATTTCTTAGAATATTCATGTAGCAGATCACATGGAGAACAATTTTGTCATCTGAAGGATGACAGGATTAAAACCTTTAGGTACATCTCCTGTTAATACCTTAGCCTGCACACATCCATCGAGTAACTTTGTAAAGGGGGGTGCGTGTGTGTGTGTGTGTGTGTGTGTGTGTGTGTGTGTGTGTGTGTGCTTCTTTGCATATGTGATGTGATATTTTAATCTCCTCATATATAGTAAAAGCTGGCCTATGGCCCTTAGTAGAGCTGAGGGTAGGTGGTGTTTGGGGCAGGGGGTGTCTCCACTGTTCTGAGTAGCTCATGATGCTAGAAACATTTTGTCTGAGGTGCTTTCCATATCACCTACAAGTCTGACCTAACTTTTTTTTTTGTCCTATTCTCAAAACTCCCTTTGAAAATTTAGGAACAGCGGCTGAAATTAGTTTGGGATCATCCTCTCTTAATGTCGAGTGTAAGTGCCGAGCTTTAATGAAGGACAGGAAAACTGAGGGTCCCCCCTCCAATTCAACACTAAACAACATGAAGTCCTTGGAGATAAGGAGAAGTTTGAGTAGAACACCTGAGTCCCAAGATGCTACGTAAACATCATCATCCAGGCTGTAAACAAAGACAGTACAATTTCTTCCCTGTAGGGACATATCTCTGAGAAATTCCAAGGGGGTTGAAACTGTATCTAATCAGATCCCTGAGATCATCAAGTAGCATAAAGTTCTTCATGATATGCCAGCTGGGGTTCTGGTGAAAATGAGCATTGCTGGTTTTTTTCTCCTAAAGTTGATGTATATACCATCTGGGAAAATCCACAAACAGAAATCTTGGTCTGTTCCTAGAGCACCTTGGAGACTGGGGTCTGTAAAAGCTCTGATTCTCAGCACCAACAGAATCAGAAGAGTTAAAACTTGAGGCTGTATTCTTTATGCACTAACACCATTTTCTCCTTTGAGATAATGGAAAAAGAGATTGCATAGGGCCCAGGACTTTGGGGGGCAAGGAGGAGGAAAGTGAATGTCTGACTCCCATTTTTCCTGATGGCTTTCTTTTAAACTCACAAATAAGGGGTCAGGGATGTATTGAGCCCTTCCCTACTCTTAACACTGACTCTGGTGTGAAATGCAGTGAAGGGACTGAGAGGAGGAAGGTAGGAGGGTGCAAACAGAGGGGACACTCTTGGCTTTCTCCCCATGGCAGGAACGCTGTATCTAGTTGGGAGAGGGAGGCAGGATGAATGGAGACAATGGCGACAGGAGAGCTCCTGTCTCTGAGCCTGAGGCAGTGGGCTCGGGTTGTACTCCTGCTGGCTCTCGGAAGGTCTTTCTGGGAGCCGCTGGGTGGCCGATTCAGGGGCTCCATCTCCTCCTCTCCCAGGTGGGGACAGAACTCTTGCTGCCCATGCTAACAGACTCTAGCTTGGATTCACGATCAACCCAGGGGAGCTGAGATATAGTCACAGACACATTGTCAATAGCTTGGCGGGGGGGGGGGGGGGCATAGATGAGAGAAGAAAGGCACAAAGGAGGGCATCCATGCACTGGCTCGTCTTCTAGACCTTTCTTCCATCAGCCATGCTTGTGCCTATAACCAGTCTATGTATTTTTGCCCCTTGTTTCCACAGACAGCTCCCCAGAAGAGAATGGCTCTGAGAAACAGCTCCTCAGTGACTGAGTTTATCCTTGTGGGATTATCAGAACAATTAGAGCTGCAGCTCCCCCTCTTCCTACTGATCTTAGGGATCTATGTGTTTACTGTGGTGGGCAACTTGGGCCTGATCATCTTAATTGGGCTGAATTCTAGCCTTCACACTCCTATGTACTTTTTCCTCTTCAACTTGTCTTTTATAGATCTCTGTTTTTCCTGTGTGTTTACCCCCAAAATGCTGAATGGTTTTGTGTCAGAAAACTTCATTTCTTATGTGGGATGCATGACTCAACTATTTTTCTTCTGTTTCTTTGTCAATTCTGAGTGCTGTGTGTTGGTATCGATGGCTTATGATTGCTATGTGGCTATCTGCAATCCTCTGCTGTACACGGTCACCATGTCGCCTCATGTCTGTTCTCTGATGATGTTTGGTTCGTATGTGATAGAGTTTTCTGGGGCCATGGCCCACACCAGAAACATACTGAGACTGACCTTCCATGATTTCAACATCACTGACCATTATCTGTGTGAAGTCCTCCCCCTCTTGCAGCTCTCCTGCACCAGCATCCACATCAATGAGCTGGTGTTTTTTATTGTTGTTGGAGTGGTCATCACAATATCCCTTATCAGTATATTCATCTCATGCTTTGATTCTCTCCAGTATTCTCCGTATTCCTTCCACTGAGGGCAGGTCCAAAGCCTTTAGCACATGTGGCTCCCACGTTGCTGTGACTCTGTTCTTTGGGTCAGGGGCATTCACCTATTTAAAAACCTCTTTTCCTGGACCTATGGACCAGAATAAATTTGCCTCAGTCTTCTACACCAGTGTGGTTCCCATGCTTATCCTCTGATCTACAGTTTGAGGAATAAGGATGTTAAAGTTGCTCTGAGAAAAACCCTGAAGAGAGTGCTCTTCTGATGGTTCTGTTTGTATCAGTTATTTACCGGTAAGCATCATACTCAAGAATCTTTTTATCTACAGGTGTAGGAATTTTAATCTTTTTTCCTTAAGGGGGGTGTTCTCTCTACTTAAAAAAATTGCAAATCCCTTGCTTATACTCTTTTTGAGGTTTATACTGGTTCACTGCATGCAATTTAGCATCTATTAAATGCCTATTGTTTACTGGACTCTATACTAGGTCCAAGAGATGAGCAAGATGAGGCTCTATGCCTTCCATCCTTTTCTTGGTAGGCTAAATGGGTTTGTACAAGCAACTTTTCTGGCTGGGAGATGGGGCAGGTGGTGGTATGAAGGTCCAGGAGAGTGAATTTATTTTTTCTTCAGTTATGGGAGCAGGCTTCCCAAAGACAAAAGGTAGATATACCTTGGGCCATAGGTAAGGTAAGTCTCCCAACTCTTAGAGAGGTTGCTTGGCTAGGAAGATTGTAAATCATCCCTTTCATATACATCCATGTACACACAAGAGAAAGCCTCACTTAAGAGTTCTTTACATGGCCTGAAATGTAAAGATAAATCAAACCTAAAATCTTTCTTTTCAAAGTTTCAAAACTCTTAGGCCATGGATTGGTAACCATGGGGTAGGTAGTTTATAACTGAGCCAAATTCTTGGGCCCTGGGCTCTAAGGCTGAAAGCAAAAGAATAAGGGAGAAATTCCATGGATTTACAAGATTATGTTAACTGCTACCTCTATCCTGCCTGAGATACTGTGCATATTATAGGCATTTAGGACAATTCTTTTATTATTTACTGTCTCTGAGACTGTGTGTATGTATGTGTGTGTGTATTATAGTTAACTATTAGAGAATCAGGAACAAAGAGGAGTCACATTACACTTTCCACTTGCAGGAAGACTTGGAAGCAATCCTGATTTTGAGTGCCAAAAACTGCTCTGTACTACTCTGTTGAAGATTCTGCTATTCTATAATGGATAGCTCAGATTTTGAGGAGTACACCCTCATAAACTTCCCTGTGTGTTGGCAGGAAGGTGAACTTAGGGCCAAACCAACCCACATGGAAAGATGGGAGAATGGAGACTCATGGGGTCAGAAGAATGGGACCCTCTCTGTGTAAAGACTAGAACTTGGGGTGTCCATGAGATCATCTGTAAAGAGCATTTGGTACTTTTGGATACCAGAGAGTCATATAAAGTACTCGGTCTATATATTTTGCTTTGCTTATATTTTTCCAACTCACCCATAAAATTGGATAGCTGCACAGTGTATATTGGTATGAGAAACGAGGAAACAAGAGATGTAAGACCTTTCTCACATTTATCTCTCTGCTGACACTTGTTAGAAGTGGCAGCATCATACTGAGAAGAAAGGTAGTTCAAGTGTTCCAGGTCATGGCCAGAAGCAAGGCATCCTGACATGCGGCCGAGAACAGTACAGAGAAGCACCGGCAGCAAGGAACTGACTAAGGAGGAGACGTGAAATAAAACTTATTTTCTCCAAATATGCTAAAGGGAGGGCGTTTTTGAAGGTAGAAAAATCCAATACTTGGATTATATCTGAATAATGATAAAAATGATACCTAACCTTTATTGAGCACTCTATGTCTGGGCACTGTTTAAGGTGCCTGACATATATTTTTTTTAACAATCTTTTTTTTTTTTTTTTTGCGGTACCCGGGCCTCTCACTGTTGTGGCCTCTCCCGTTTTGGAGCACAGGCTCTGGACGCGCAGGCTCAGCGGCCATGGCTCAGGGGCCCAGCCGCTCCGCGGCATGTGGGATCCTCCTGGACCGGGGCACGAACCCGTGCGCCACCAGGGAAGCCCCCTGACATATATTAACTCACTTACGGGAATTGTGTTAATGCCATGCTGAACCACTGCTAGTCAGTCCTCTGGACTTAGCTGAACTCTATCCTCCAGAGGACTATCTAGGTCTAGGCATGTGGAGACCTGGGGATATTAGTAAGAGTCAAGAATAAGGAACAATAAGGATAAATATAATTTGATATGCATAAAGGAAAAAATTACCATTAGTATAAATGAGTGGAAATAAGGGACAAAGCAAAACCATAAGGATGTGAGTGGAAAGGAATAATTATGAAATAAGTTCATTAAAGCCTAAGAATAACTTTATTTACATTCATCCCATATTGGCATTGGGGTAACTAGAGGTGAAAGCATAAGTATGACTTAATGAGACACTGGCTTGAAACCCTTTGTCACTGAAGATCTGAAATGACAAAAACTCAGAGGCTCTTTTCCTGGTTCTTGTAATAGCCAGTAAGAGCCATTTATTTCTCCCACATAAAAGACAACATTTCATAAATTATGAAGACCTTCACCTCTGTCACAAACCAAGGATAGGTCATCTTGCATACCCTTCTAGGTTGGTGTTGAGGAACTGCTGGTTCATAAATGGTCAACAAATAGGAACAGGTTTGGGGGCTTCTGCTTTACAGTAAGTGAAAAACATGATTAGATGCTCTGTGTCCGATGTCCCAAAGTGGGTCCCTCTGCCACAACAGCAAAATTCTGTCGCCTCGTGCCATCGTGACATTTTGACTTTCAGCAAGTTACATTTTCTCTCTAGGAAGCATCATTAAAGTCAGGATTCCTCTGGGTTCAGTCTTTGGCCTACTTCTCCTTTTGGCTCTTCCTGGGATGCCTTTCCAGCTCTTGCGGCTCCAACAACCACGTTTGACTCCTAAATCCATAACTCTAGTTTGGATCTATGTTTATAACCTACAATTAGTTATAATTAGAAATATGAAAGTATCGTCAGATACCAAACAGAATTATGTAATAATCTGGTGGTGACGTAGTTTTGGAGAATAGAAAAGAATAAACTACTCTTGATATCTACACATTCTCCTACATTCTAAACAGGTAGGAGAACACAGAGGTAAGTGACAGACACCAAGTCCGCAAAGAACTTTCCAGTGGAGCTTGGGAGTGAAAGGCACTGCTCTAGGCTGTGAGGCAGTGATGCCTGTTCAGTGCTAAGCCTTAGCCCACGTGTTAGATCGACAAACATCGCCCTCTCTCCCCTCACACTTCCATAAATGAAATCCGTCATTTACTAACTGCTGCAGCTGCCGATAATGTAAGTGCGACTGCAGTGGCTTAAACACATGAAGGTTCATTTTTCTCTAACATAAAAGGCATCTAGAAGTAGGAAGTCCAGGGCTGATATGGCAGAGTCAGCAAGAACTCAGTGTCTCTCTCTTTCTTCTCTTCTTAGCAGTGACTTCATTCTCGTGGATGCATCACAGCTTCCATACGGCTGCTAGACCTCATATGGCTTTGTCCACAGTCCAACCAGCAAGAAGACAAAGGGGCAAAGGAGGGCAAAGGGTGCTTTGCCTATTCAATGGGTGACTTTCACTGACATCTCACTAGCCACCCCTACTTACAAGGGAGACTGGGAAACTTGGCATTCAACTTCAGAAAATTGCCATCCAGGAAAAACTTTAGGATTTTGTTATTAATTAAGAAAGAGTAAATGGCTATTGGGTAGGCAATCAGCAATGTGTACCAAAGGACAGAATTGGTTCCACTTGCCAGGAGGGAGCAGTTCAGAAGTGAGCACCTTCCATCCCTATAATGGCTTCCTTACTTAGTTATACTTGGTTTCAAGTGTAAGGGAGAGAGAGAGAGAGAGTTATTAATATTGCTAAATCCCTCACATTACAGTTATCTTTGTCTTTTTCGTATAAAGGGACTTCTGGCAATTGAAGCTCTTGTTTTCTTATGCTTTGAGACGCTCCCTCTTGATTTGTAGGTGTTTATTAGAAATGGTAGGAGAGAAAAATAAACATTCCTCTGTCCATCTTAGGTTCATTGACTAGGGCCCTAAAATTAGAATGATGAAAGAGAGATTAACAAGAGAAAAACAAACAGAAGTGTATTAACATGCGTGGTGTACATACACACAGGAGTACTCAGGGATGAGGAACTCCAAGGGGTGGTTAGAACTTGGGCTTAAATAGCATCTTAACAAAGAATAAATTTGTAGAGAAGTTACAAGATAGAGGAAAAGGGTTTTGAGCTTCTGGGGTAGTAAACTGTGGGAAATATATGGGAAAAACTAATGGAGGATAAGGTCTAATTAGTAATGTTTTTTAATGTAGGTTCTGCTGGTGAGGTCTCCGGGTTTAGAAGGGTCTAGAGTTGTCTCCAGTGATTAACTTCTGTCCCTTCTGGTAGAGAAGGGAGAGGAACACCTCTACACATTTATGTGCTGCTTTTAGGTAAATAGGGAGAGATTTTCTTATATCTACTTTTTCTAAATAGCCTTCAGTTCAAAATCCTTATACCAGCATGGTATATTTCAGGTAGCATATATTCTGCTGCCATTAGGAACCATACCAAGAACAAAGTTACTGAGGGCACACAAAAATGCAATTCAAGGGCTTCCCTGGTGGCACAGTGGTTAAGAATCCGCTTGCCAATGCAGGGGACACAGGTTTCAGCCCTGGTCGGGGAAGATCCCACATGCTCTGGAGCAACTGAGCCTGTGCGCCACAACTACTGAGCCTGCGCTCTACAGCCCGCAAACCACAACTACTGAAGCCTGTGCACCTAGAGCCCGTGCTCTGCAACAAGAGAAGCCACCACAATGAGAAGCCCGCGTACCACAACGAAGAGTAGCCCCCGCTCACCACAACTAGAGAAAGCCTGCACGCAGCAATGAAGACCCAACACAGCCAAAAATAAAAAAATAAATTAAATAAATAAATTTATTTTAAAAATGCAACTTAAATAGGGCCACGGACAGTGGGGTTCATCGACAGCTAACAGAGAAATATGACAAGAAAAATTAGGCTAGGAAATCCATAATTTCACAGAACAGCAAGAAGACTTGTTTATCTTTTAAGATTCACCCAACCACTTATGGGTTCAACTGATATTCACTCAATTCTCACTAAGTCACAGGTGAAGAGTTCAAGATTTCACTTAATGGGATCATTAGGACTTCAAACTGTCTTTTTTCCATTAATATGTACAACCACAT